GGGAAATCTCCTTTCACCATTACTATTTTTCTCCAGTAGTGTGTGAGTGATTGTGTGTCTGTGGGGAAGGGGGCACTGGGGGTAGGGTTGGGGTAGACAGAATGCTGCTTGCCAGCAAGCCCCACAAGGAGGAGCAGGTCCCAACGCTGGCAGTTCTCTGAATTTAGAATGAGGACTCTTCTTTTGTTAGCTGTAGGCCCTTAGTCCCCAATCCTGGAACTAGACACCCCCATACCCTCTTTTTATCCTTAATTGACACATTATGTTCAATTACTTTGGGTATTTAGCGATAGAATTGATTTGATTGTCCAGTATGCTAACAGATGTATAGTGACAGAGCAATTTCACATTTCTGAACCTCAGTTGATGTTGAATAACTTATCTGATCCTGCTATGAGGGTAGTGCTTTAACCCAAAGGAATTTCAATCAAAAGATGAAGTGATGAGAGAGATGTAGCAGAAGCCACCCAACTGAGCAGCCGAAGAGTAAGAAGGAGAGAAACACTGATGGGGAAGAGGAAGGGTGTGAGGACTGTTTATTGATACAGAGGAGGTTCCAAATCACAAGACCGCCAACAGAAATGTACATCACTGTCACAACAACACGTGAAACATACTGGTTGGCTTAATAACTAGTATCCATCTTGATAGGATGCTGAAGTATAATTGCAATCCATGAGAATTTACTGATCAAAGTCTAGCCTAGTCCAAACTCTGCTCCACAACACATTTGTCTGCTCTCCGACCATCATTCAACATCCCTCTAACTTTATTCTGGTCTTTTCCTTAAAACTGTTTCCTAATATTTGTGCTACCAATGGCATTTTCTTAACACATAACTTGTAAAGAAAAACTAGCAAAATGTTAGTTGGTGCTTTTTTTTTTATATGAATAAAAGATTTGATAATTCCCTCCCCTCCTCCAAACCAGCACAAATGTAGAGAGTAGAAAACATGAAGACTTCCTTACACTTAGCTCACACCATCTGCACACAGGCAGCACGAGGCGGCCCAGCACAACAGTCCTCACAAGCCCTCCTGGAGGTCTCAGGTCACTTGGACTTTTTATTGCCTTTCTGGGGCTTTGCAGAGGCCACCCTTGCCTCCTCCTCTGGGATGAACACACTGATGGTGAAGTCGCTTGTCTCTGAGCCATACTTGTTCTTCACAACCAGCCCATATTTGCCAGAGTCAGAGGTGGTCACCCCGGTGATGGTGAAGTAGGCGGTCTTGCCGGCTTCCAGCCTGAGGTTGCAGTGGTCATCCGAGTCCAGGGACTTCTCATTCTTCAACCACGAGATCTCTGGAGTCGGGTCGCCCCACACGGTGCAAGTGAGATTAAGTGCCTGTAAAACAGGTTTTATGGGAGGGAGGAAAGATATCAGATATAATGACCCAACTTCAAAAAACCTCTGGGGGTGTAGCGTGACCTGATGGAGGATAAATATAAACCTCCCAGATCAGGGTTTGAACTTGTTATGTGTGTGTGAGACACACACACCTGAGTAGGTTTCTTTAGGGTTTCTGGGTTTGGAAATGCTTATCATCAAAACCACATAGAGTTTACTTTCAGTTCTCCTCTCCATTTTTGCTTTCAAAACCACAGATGCCTTTTGCTCTAATGTGGCATTTTGGACTCTATCTCAGTAGAGAAATCTCCTCACTGCCATAATCACCACCTGCTCACTTTTGCATTTCAATTGTATCACAGGGCCCAGCAGCAGAATCCTAACATCTGTTTCAAATAATGTGAGTCATTTTCAAATTCCATCTTCCTCATTCTATTGTATTTTCTCCCCAAACCTTACCCAATCTGTTGCATGTGCAAAGGTTCCCTACCAAAACGTATTCCTAACATTTTATTATATTTCCCTCTGTGCTGAAACCCTCTTATTTTAAAAGATCAAGGTTTAGGCCTATAGTTTTATTTTACCTTACATTTTTCTTAAAAGGTTGTTTTTAGATAATTGTAGATTCATATATAGTTGTAAAAAATAATAGAGAGATCCTGTGTACCCTTACCCAGTTTCCCCCAATAGCACCATTTTACAAAACTACAGCATAATATCACAACCAGCATATCAGCAATGGTACAATCCATTGATCTTATTTAGATTTCCCCGGTTTTACTTGTACTTGCTTGTGTTTGTGTGTGTTTACTTCTATTCAATTCTATAACCTTTCTAGGTTCATGTATCCACTACCTCAGTCAAGACACAAAACACTTGCATCACCACAAGAACTCTGGTGTTGCCCTTTATAACTAGACCCACTTTCTCACCCCACTTCAACCTCCCAACCTCATTCCTAGCTCTTGGCAACCACTAATCTGTTTTCTGTTTCTAAAATTTTGTAATTTGAAAAACATCATATAAATAGCGTCACACCGTATGTAACCTTTTGGGATTGCCTTTTGCACTCAGTGTAATTCCTTACAGATTCATCCAAGTTATTGCAGGTAGCAACAGTTGGTCACTTTTTTATCACTGAGTAGTGTGCCATGGTATGTGTATACCTATAGGGTCTTCTGAGATGTTAACATTCTTGGGCTATTATGACTTAAGCTGCTATGAACACTTGTGTACAGGTTTTTATGTGAATGTAAGTTTTAATTTCTCTATGATACATGCCAGGACCCCAACTGCTGGGTCATATAATAAATGCATGTTTCATTTTTTAAGAAACTGCCAAACTGTTTTTCTGAGTGGTTGTACAATTTTGATTTATATTTCCACCAGCAATGTATGACTGATTCAGTTTCTCTGCATCCTCACCATCCTCCCCAGCATTTGTTTTATTTTAGCAATTCTGATAGGTGTGTTATAATATTTCATTGCAGTTTTAATTTGCATGTCCCTGATGGCCAATGATGTTGAATTTACTTCACCTTTTAATTTCCACTATTANCTTGTCAAATGCTTTTTCTGTATCTGTTGATATGATCATATGATTTTTATTTTTCATTTTGTTGATGTTGTGTATTACATTAATTGATTTGTGGATATTGAGCCAACCTTGCATACCAGGAATGAACCCCACTTGATCGTAGTGCATGATCTTCTTAATGTATTGCTGAATTCTGTTTGCTAATATTTTGTTGAGGATTTTTGCATCTATGTTCATTAGGGTTATCAGTCTGTAGTTTTCTTATTTTGTGATGTCTTTGTCTGATTTGGGGATCAGGGTAATAGTGGCCTCATAAAAAGAATTTGGGAGCCTTCCCTACTTCTGGACTTTTTGTAATAGTTTGAAGACTTATCTTTAATTTACTTTTCTCTTGGTGATTGATGGTATTTCTTTTTTTGTATCTTTGTATGTCTGCTGATTAGATGTTTTTGATTGCAAATGTCACACTGTTGGAGAGTGTATTCATTTAAAGTATGTTGCACTTTGTTCTGACACACCATTAGGTTATTGCAGATCTTTGATCCTTTTAAGGCTTGCTTTTAAACTTTGTTAGGGTGTTAGGGCAGCTTTTAGTCTAAGGTGAATTTAGTCCCACTACTAAGGTGAGGCACCTCTGAGCACTCTACTGATGCTCCATGTATTACTAAGTCTTTTCATTCCAGCTGTGGGAAGGAGAACTATTCCCAGCCTGTGTGAGCACCAAGAACTGCTTGGCCTATTACTTTTCAGTGGCTCTTTCCCACCACCTACAGAGTGGGGCTCAGCTAGAGACCCAGCCCTAGCAGTCGAGTGCTCCTTCTCTGTGCAACTCCCTTTTCTTTAATATACTTTACCACAAATTCTAGTCACCTCAGCCTCCTTGAACTTTAACCTTTATCCCCTCAACTCAATGAGACTGTCAGGTTCTGTTTGGGCTCCCCCTCGCTGAACTGCAGCCTGAACAGTCTGTCTAGGCAAAAATTTGGAGCCATCACAGACTCATTACTATTTCCCTTCTTTTAGTGATTGCAGACCTGCATGTCTGCTAGCCAGTGCCCCCAGTTTTTTCCCTTATATTTTGCCTGGCTTTCTAGTTGTTTATGGTTGGAGGACAATTTCATAATAGTAATCCTCTGTGGGCAGACACAGAAGTCCCTTGTAGTTTTATATTTGTTTCCCTGGAGCCCCAGATATTAGCCATTTTTATGGGAACTCTTGGCTTGGGATTCCTACACCATGTGGTGCTATAAATCTGGACCCCACAAGCCTACAGGACTGGCCTGAGGAATCCATTAACTTTGTTTTTCTACCCAGAACCACCCCCAGGCAGATGCCAAGCTTCCATATATCTCCTCAATGTCAGTTTGTGATATTTTTACTACTCCCATTTTTGGGGGGTGGGTTACCCTTTGCGCATCCCAGCTTTGTGCAGAGATCTTGTTGTGCAGCTCCCGATTTTGAACGACTTGAATCTGCGTCTCTCATTCTGGCATGGGTTTCAAAACTCCAGTCCCACGCTGTAGGGGCTGTAGCTAGGTAATGTTATTACTTTTGCATTAAGGCATCCATGCATATTTTATTTTTGCATACTTAAAATAGTTTAGAAAATTTATCCTAGTAATAGTTCAGCTTCATGATTCTAACTTAAAATGCTTAGTGATCGTGATTTTATGTTGAAGTCTCTCTAAGTTTATATACAAAGGAGAACATTTAAAAGAACTCAAAATTTCCCATATTTATATACTTAATTTTATAGGTAACTAAAATTATTTAAGTTCTTGGAAAGTTTTTGTTAAGTCAGACAATAGTAGTACTTAAAATGGAAAACAAATATATTAACTTATAAATACAGTTTAACAAGTTAAAGGCAATTAATTGTACTAATACAGTACCCTTAAAATAGATTTTTTTCAATAGCTAGATTTTTAAATAAAAAAATGAGCTTTTCAAGCTAAAGTTCGTGAACTTAGGAAGATCTAGATTTTTCAATTTATTACCTTAGTATATTAAATATTCATTTTCTAAAAATAAGCCCTGTATAGTCTTTTCTGTGTTTCAATATGATCCTCTTTGTACCAATACCTCACAATTAGCAGGTCACAGATTCATGAATTCTTATAAGTTAAAAGAACCTTCAGCATCATTAGATTGATAGATCTATGGTTTCAGTTCTTTTTCCCTTGTAGAAACAGCAGCTTTTTACCTAAGCCATCAAATCATGATGTAGTTGATTTAATTTGGTCATTATAATGGCCGAA